AAGGAGCGCTGGCCTTTCACAAAGGATCGGGAAAGTAGTCCGAGCGAAAAAAAAAGAGCGTTCGTCCTCTGCACGTCCTAAGATAAAGATGCACTTTACACCGGAAGTACAGCCAGCAGGTCAACACGGACTGGTCCATGAGAATGAACAAAAAATCTACAGGCGTATAAAAGGACCAGTCGGTGCTGGAACAAAAAGATTATGGTATAGATCTGAAGGTTTTGGTGTCTCGTGTAGGCAGTTGTTGCCATCATGCACGTGCGCTGTGCTTTGAATTAAAGCCTTCTAACCAGATTCAGCGTCCTGTTTCCTAGCCACCCCGCCCGGTTGCATTATAACAATTTCGATCTTTTAATCTGGGCGACTCACAGCGAGGGTCTCTCGGATTGTAGGACTCTAAAGCGCGTGGAACCTCGTCATACAAACAATCTTTCGAAGAGACCTCATTGTGCCGCTTAATCCCGGTACTTCACTTTATCAGTTATTGTTCAGAACTCGTAGTTGACAGCAGGTGCATACACAGAGTTGAACATAGAGAGTATAACATTAGATTTTCCGCTTCATCACCTCAAATCGGTTCAACTTCTGCATTACTTCATCTTCTGGCTCATTTTTGTGTTTGATAAAACACTGCATACTTTCACTGGTACTGATTACGCCGATATATTAAAACTCTTTTGCTTGCTCCAGTTGCTTCCCATTTACTGTAGCACACAGCTACACTTTTTCGAGTGCCCTCAGCTTTTTGCCAGAATAATTTTCATTCCGGCCTCGTCACATGCAATGAAACGATAAAGTCCACGTTTAAGTTAATCATGACTGTAAGCGAATATGATGAGAGCATCAGCAAACAGCAAGTAATTCAATCGAACCTGTCCAACTGTAGCACTCTCAGCTCTGCCAATCCAATGCACGAAAATAATGAATGGGGGTGACAGCACTCACATTTGGTGGAAACAAGCACATAGTTTTAATAGTTGTTTCGTTTGCCTCGTTGAAATGAAAATTTTGTTACATATCCCAGTTCACAAATAGGTCAGAACAACGTTACTAAAAGAATGAGCCAAGTTCAGATTTAATGGATATAGCAAGGTAGCGCATTCGGTAACTACCTAACGAAGCCACAGCACAATATATCAAAAAGTACAATATATGGAGCTTATCGCTTCGATCACAATCATTGCAAGGGTTGTTTCGAATTTGACGATGATCTGACATTTGTGAATTGGCCTGAACCATTCGAACAATACACATTTAGTTATTTATGACAGAGTATAGATAACGCTTATCTCCAGGTGGATTTCACCTAGGAAAAACTATGCTTCATCAGACATAATCTGGAATGCAAATATATTTTGCTATTTATGCAGTAACATATTGGTTGTACTAGTCAGTAACACATCTTTCATAGTGAGCGCGACGTGGTTCTTGCAAAAAATAATGCCAGATGCATCTAGCACTACAAATGCTAAAATGGTATTGATCTGTAGCCTGTTTAAACGGTCCTTTAGACAGTTAAGAGCAATGAGGCGGTGCAAAACGCCGAGAAACCTGGTCTTGGAGGAGTTATGCCTTCTTAGACATGCTCAGCGTACACATAGCCTATGTCAAAACATATATTACAGTAGCAATGTACTTACGTCCAGACTGCACACGGCGTCTGTAGTACTGTATTTAGTGTTCGTCGTGTGTTGGAAAGAAGTGTAAGCAGGATGGCGCCGAAACAACGTATGAAAGTCGCGAATGAGTTCTACAGCAAAAACGTCACTCAGCGAGGCAACGTCGCAAAAACTTTGGTACATGTTTGGTAATATAGTATAGTGCCTGAAGGTGAAGTTTGTCGGTGTTCATTTGTGTATGTTTACGAAATGCTTGCTTGAACTTGCCTGGCATCTTACTCTAAATTGAGCATAATTCATTGAAACATCAAAGTTTACTGAAGATGTGCACAGTGTACTTTTAGAAGCAACAAGAAGACAAATATGCTGCAGCGCCATGGCTAATCGGACTGTTTGTTTTTGTTGTATGCGGTTCAGGTAAGCGATTTTGCATATTTTTTTCTCAAAGTAAATTTTATTTCCGGTAAGTTGTATTTGTAGTTGCAATATTTTTTACATTTCAGGATGATAAAAACTTAGCTCTGTGATAACTTCCCTACGTACTATAACTTTTCATTTTAAGCGCTGCTCTTCTGCCATATGTTGTGAGCTGAAATGCGTTTTTAACAGCCATTTTCGTCTCTGAATTGTATGGGAAACAATCATCACGCCGTTGGCAATTTGTTCGTTACGAGATTGAGAGGAAATTGGGCCACACGTTGGTTTGGGTAGCCGAATATCTTTGGTGAAATGTTTTTAAAACTTGTTTCACTGGCAGTCTCGGTAGATACGATTTACAACCAGACTTCGCAGACACTAGGCTGAAAGATTTGGTTGCCCTAAGCCTAGCGAGAATATTCGTAACTTTGCCAGGTTATTTCAGTAATGGAGACAAAATCTTTGAAGCAGTTTTATGTTTAATAATTAGCAGAAGTACGATGCTACTAGCCGCTGATGGTCATACCATTCAGAGCATTCGGTTTATGCTGTTCTACAAACAGTTTCTTTGACGAAATAAAGTTCGTCTGTTTTTTTTTTAACTGTTGGGGTTCGACGACCTTGTCGTTACCGATATATCGGCCGACGTCACAGAGACGTTTAGAATGAAAAGGGAAGTAATCATTTTATGACTTTTTATTTGAATGGCCTTAGATGCCGCTAAGGATACGCCTTCAGAACTGAAAAATGTTCTCTGGACAAAGGAAGCATTTAGCTTGTTTAGACGAAGTCGAGTTTTACTTTAACGACTGCGAAATCGTAAATTTATGTATTATATACGCATTGGTCTTTTCGCGATCGTTGCAGTGCACTTTTTATGTGTGGGTGTAATTCTGAGTACTAGAAGGAACCTGCGAGGGAGAATTTTTACTCTGCTGTACATGTGCTGGCATCGCTTTTGTTACTTTAGTTGAACTCCTCGTTTAACCTACCGTTGTTGCAACAGAGTTCACAGTGACCGCTTTTCCATGTTTCTTGAACTTTCCGCTAAATCTGCCTTAAATTTGATTGTTTCACGAAACGAAATTTCGGCGTTCCTTCAGAGCTTCTGCCAGTCCGTTCATCATGGACTGTCATCGATTATCATACTGTATGCCGAATCCCAGCAGCAATCGAAGTGCGGATCTGGCAGCATGTAGTGAAATGTATTTTTCTTAGCGTCTGCAATAGTATTAAAGTTAAGACCAATCATGAATTTTCAAACAATAATCAGAGACTGTCTGTTTCTTGAAGATTTGAATACATCAGGTGTCACATTCCGACATCGTAATAGCATTAGCAACGACTGTGCAAGGATAAATATCGGATACTAGCGTAGAAGAGTATCATATTTAACCATAATGGGCGATGCACATGCACCAGAAGTGTTTAGGAATCACTGGCAAGCGATTGTGTTTCAGAAGCTCAAAACGATTGACAGCGATTCGTTTTGCAATGGCGAATAAAGGCAGAGAAACAAGAACATGGTAAAATTTGAACCGTTTGTGTGTAAGGGCCGTTCTGTGTTAGTACATAATACAGAAACAGTGTTAAGATAAAGATGTTGGGTACTTTTCAGAATTGCTGTCAACGGAACACACTGGAAGCAGATGGTTCCACCGAGTAAAGAATGAAAAGATCTTGGCGATGACTTGCCTGAGAATTATGTCTGATAAAATCAGGGACCAGCATCTGTCGTGGTTTGATAGAACCATCAAAGACGAGAATAGAGACTTATCAAACGCCCAGTTTTCTTTGAGTAGCAAAAAATGGCCGCAAGCGCGTTGGAGGCCATCATCACACTCTAAGGCATCTGCTCGAAAGGGACTTGTTTGCGATGAGAAACATGACCTTTGCCGCGGTAACCATCATCGGCTAAATAATTCTGTGAAGCCGAAGCGTAATCTGGATACACGGTCGTAGATCGTAGATCATTAATCTGGACACACGGTCCTTCGTATCCAGAGGACGATGACAGTAACAGTGTATTCAGTGAATATTATGAAGGAGTTAAACGACGCGGTTTGCAGATGTTTTGAACTGTTTGGTGAGTTTTTGTTCAAATTTCAAGCCGCTGAGTTGAAATTTGCGTTCCTATGCTTCTTCAACGCCTCATCAACAATAGACGCATTTGTGTTCTGCACCTTCGACAAAATTCTATTTGTTTGTACCCCTTGATACTGTAAATGAATTATAGATTTTTGAGATTTGATTCCTCGAACCGAAAGATTATCATTTTACTTGCACTTGCAATAATGGCAAACTGTGATCATTATAGAATATATCGGTCCTAGTTTGACATCCGCTGAAGAAACTTAGCAGTCTCCTGCCAGTTCTCCGGATTTCCAAGGAACGGTCACATCGTCACCTATCTTCTGGCAATCTAGAGGATTCTGAGTGGGCCACGGCTTTGTGATATGTTAGTACCTGCGATATACTGATAGCATCACTATGTTTGGTCAAACACCAAGCAAGATTGAATATCTTTGATTGCCCCAACTTAGTGATGCTGTTTTGCTTCCAAGCACTGCATGTGCTAAAGCACCGAGAAGCCGTGTTACGCTTAAAGGATTCCCTAGGCTGCCAGAAGCAGGAGGAAGGTGTTGCCACGCCTTGCGAATTTGGAGAATTGAT